TCAAGTGCATCACTAAATATTACTCTAAATTCCATGCAAACTACGTAGTCGATCTTGACTATACTTCTCCGTCAGTTTCTTCTCGTTGGTTTTATTGAATGATCATTCATCATATCCATTCCTTCTCCTTTCTAGTTTTGGTTTTTGGTGCTCACTACTGCAAATCTTATTTCCTGCAGAGCGTTTAGCCCTCATTCGGCAACAAAGAGCGGAAGCTGCCAAGAAGCGAGAAGAAGAGAAAGCTGGTGAACTTCTTTGAAGCGGCTATAATTTTCGTTCTGGTTTCACCCTTATCACTAAAACTGAGTCAAAAACTCTCTTTTCATCTACAGCCAAAGAACTGAAGAAGGCCGATGCTCGCAAATGATCCTTAGAGAGAGCGCACAGAGGAGCATTCTCTTGCAAAACAACAAAAAGAATATGTGAAGATTAAAGACATCACTTTTCTATTTTAGCAATTGGTGCAAACAGTATATTTTCTCTTCCCAGTATTACTACTGAAAGCATGTGGTACTGTTCTCGATTGGCCTTCCTATGAGTAAAGGCGTCTCCGGTGACTATCTAGAAAATCTACAATGTTCGGCTTGTTTGTAGAGCAATGTTTTTATGAGGAGTTGCTACATCAGGTGACTGCTCTTTCCCGTGCTAGTTCATGCTGAGAACTGCATGGATCGTCCATTAATATATGGATTACCCTGATAAAAAGATGATATGATAAATAGGCACTCTGATTACAAGAACAAGGCCGTATGTGTAAGAATTAATTATCATAGCCATGATGGGATGACGCTGCCAAGCATCTCTGCTCAATGTACCCAAAGTTGATTTTGAAGTTGGAATACGGTGTTTCAAGGTTAATTCAATCTTGTATGATCTTTTTGTTCCTTGAATAAGAAAATATGCTTTTTCTTTTTGGACATTCGAAAAGTGATGCCTTTACTGTCGTAACGTTCTTTTTTTGGGACATTTTCTAGGTGAGCCATTATAATTGGGATTTGGCCAATTTTCTATAATATTAGACGACCCAAAAAGTTTCTTTATAGTCATGGGGGATGTACTGGGCTGGAATTAGGTCTAAAGGTGCTTCCCTAGCCCGACTACGCGAGGGAGGTCAATGTAATGCAGAGGGACATTGGACGACTTTATGGCAGCTAAAACATGATGGAGAAGATGAAAAAAAGTATGAGAAAAATGCGCGAATCTCCTGCAATTCTTAGCTCTATTTGCCGTGGAACGACCAGATTGCAAACCCCAATTTTCCGTTTACTTCTTCACCAAGAAAATGTGCTTTTCCTAAGGACTTCTGTTAATTATTTTTGTTGATTGTGTTAAAACATAGGAACACCAGAAAAGAAGTCTTGTACAACTACTGTCCACCTTAAATGAAAGGGTTAATACCACGAAAAACCCTAAATCGGTACATCTGTAATAAATTTACCCCAAATTATTTTTTTGACCACAAAAAATCCCAAATTGATACACATGTGACAATTTTACCCCGAATTATTTTTTTGACCACCAAAAACCCCAAACCAGTACACCTACGATAATTTTACCCCGAACTAATTTTTTAATATTATTTTTTTAGTTTTTCTTTTCTTTTCTTTTTCCTTTCCTTTTGTTTTTTCATTCATCTTTTTTATCTTTAACCTCTAGCCAATCGCCGGTCTGGTGACCGGCCAGAGGTGGGGGCCGGCGAGGCTAACCTCGCCGTTGCTGGGCGAGGCCAACCTCGCCGACAACTGACAAGGTCGGCCTTGCCCCACCCCTAGCGAGGTTTGACCTCGCCAGTTGCCGGCGAGGGGTCGTCCTTGCCGTCGCTGGCGAGGCTTGGCCCCGCCGGCAACTGGCGAGGCCGGCCTCGCCCAGAAGTGGCGAGGTTGAGCCTCGCCAGCAACGGCGAGGCTGAGCCTCGCCAGCGACGGCGGGGCCGACCCCTCGCCGGCAGCTGGCGAGGTCGGCCTTGCCCACCCATGGCGACGGCAAGGTCGGCCTCCCCCAGCAACGGCGAGGTCGGCCTCGCCAGCGGTCAGCGGGGCCGACCTCGCCGGCAACTGGCGAGGTCAACCTTGCCCACCCCTGGCGAGGTCGACCTTGCCCCCCCTGGCGAGGTTCGACCTCGCCAGTTGCCGGCGAGGGGTTGTCCTCGCCATCGCTGGCGAGGCTCAACCTCGCTACTTCGGGCAAGGCGGGACCTCGCCGATCACGGCGGACGACCCCTGGGCAATCGGCGAGGTCGAACCTCGTGGGTGGGGCAAGGCCGGCCTGGCCCGGTTCGGCACTGCCGGCGACCTGTTTCTCGACTCAGGACCCGCCGGCGAGGTCGGGCCTCGCATGGGGCCGACCCGGCCATAGGTTGAAGATGAAGGAAAAAAAAAAGAAAAGGAAAGGAAAAAGAAAAGAAAAGAAAAAATAAAACAAAATTCCAAAAAATAATAATAATATTAAAAAATTAGTTCGGGTAAAATTATCGCAAAGTATCGGTTTAGGATTTTTGGTGGTCAAAAAATAGTTCGGGATAAAATTGTCACATGTGTACGGTTGAGGTTTTTTGTGGTCAAAAAAATAGTTTTGGGTAAATTTGTCATAAGTGTACGAGTTTAGGGTTTTTCGTGATATTAACCCTAAATGAAACAAACTCTTTCTCTGTCCTGCGACCTGTTCTCATTCGTTGAAGAGTCGCCGGACTCGGTCTTTGAAGGAAAACTAACAGGGTGCTTAATGTAAGCCCGAGTGACATATCTGTTCGAAAAACATATAGCCGACATAGATATGCTATTAACTTGCCTAATTACGTGATGATTTCTCAAAGCCAACTCTACTCTGAAGCATTCCGGAACGAAACCCATCTTGAAGCATGGAACTCAGATGCTTCAGGGCTCGGTTAACCAGATGGTCCAGTACTGTGTCTACTTAGTATGGATTTGCTGCTTTCTCATTCATTTGGTCTACGGTGACATCGTATTTTTCAGTATGCATTCTGAAGATTGAGACTACCTTTGTGGCCCTAAACTTTCTGATTCAAATTGAGCAAGGAGCTAAGGCCTATGTGCTCGATAAATAAATGGGATGTAGGCGCGATGACAGTCCTAACGCGATGCACTTTTGCTTGTTCCTGTTGCATTTAATGCATTTCTTTTCGATGGTTGATCTAGATAACGCTACCTAAAGCAGCAAACTGTAGAGAGAAGGAGGAAGAGGATGGAGCATGAACCTATGAGATGAATGTGAAGAAGCAGGAGAAATAGAGACCTTGGAACAGCGTGCTGATGTAAATGGGTTCCGCCCTGCACAAGTAATATCAACCTTTTCATCGCCACTTCTTGTAAGGTTTCTGAGTATTTACTTATTCCAGGTGCGAAGGCTATCCCTGGACTCAAAATGAACAAAATCAGGAACCTAATGGATCGAATCCATTCTTGTCTGCTACGATAGAGCTGGACCTTTCTCATCTTGACATTTCACTTTTTAAATGAGATTTTTCCTTTTATGAGGAACTTTTGATTTTTGCCATCGCCCAGTTTCGAGCAACCGTCTCTTTCCCTCTCGGTTTGATGAAGGTTCCAGTTCGACATGGACTTGAAAATGATTACTGAGTAAGCCTACAACCACTCCACTCTTTTAACTAGATGGAGCAAAATATTTGGGATTCTGATGGATTACCAACAATTCCCAAATCTTAACCAGCTAGCTTGTGAATTTGACGCTTCAGTAGGATCAGGGTGAGAAAAATTTTAGCCACTTAAGGCCATCACTTCACGTTCTGCCACATTTTCAGCAATGTAATAAGCTCCTGCTGTCACTTCATATTCTTCATCCAGCAACGTGCATATACACTATGAATCCTATGCAATGCTGATGGCCTCAAAAAGATTTCTGTCCGCTGCTAGGCGTGTTGTTATTTTCCAACAAGAACAAGAAGCTCCATCCCTAAACCAAAAAGAGGACCTGGACCGTTCATCTCTGGAGGTCAGGACCTCATTGAATGTTCACCGACAGATTACTCAATCCTAGAATATGACACACCAACAACAGTGAAGACATGCTGAGTATTAGAAAATTTAGAACATGACAGAACTAGTGAGAGGACCACTATAATAATGAGCAAATAACATAATGTCAAGCAATCATATCTAGAACTAGGAAGTTCAGTGGGGTTTAGCAACAGCTTGCCCAAGTTTCCTTGAGACTTGTTTTGCATCTGCCACCTAGGCATAACACGATTTAAATCATAGGATGCTGCAAGAAGCAAACCAAAGAGATAGCACCAGGCCATACAAACTCAACCCCTTTCATTTCCAAAGAATTTCCTGTACTTTCTCCTCTATCACTTCAAATTGAATTGGCAGTATATGCTTGTAGTCATAAGATGGGGATCATTGAATTGGTATGTACTACTGAACTAATGTAATAACAATCCTTTACTTTTTCTTGTTGCTGATAATATCCCTATGCAGAAAAAAGAAAACAGAGATAGGAAAGAGACGGAGAAAAGAAACAAAATTACATACAAAAAACTCAACAAATTGAGACACATAAAAATCAAAAACAACTAAGGTGACCCCTGCAGGCGAGTAAGACAAAACAGAACCAGTTGCATAGATGATGGAACAAGCAAATTCCAAAATGCCCCCATAGTTTGAGATAAATTCAATATAGAGACCACACATACAAGGAGTAAACTACGATAAGAACGTCCACATACATGCGCGCGCACGCACAAAAAAAAAAAAAGACGAACGAAGAGTAGTGTCTTCCAATTGCAAGATATCTCTTTCTTTGTTGATTACTCATACTTTAAATCATTCCAAAGATGCCTCAAGTTCAAGCTCTTCAGAAACACAGCTTGAGATCATTCATAATCATTGATGCAAAATTCAGTGCCTCTGACATCTGTAGAGTAATCTGTCACGAAGAGCAGTTTGACAAAGTCAACTTTCTCAGTTATCATTCACTCGTTTAAGCCCGCATGGATAAGAAATTTCCAAAACATACCTTAGTTTTCCACCTTCAAGACTAAAGCATGACATACACAGGATCATCTGCATTTTGTCAACAACAAGGTCTGAGCTAAAGCGAAATTATGAAGCCGTCTGCCTAGTGACACCATCAGCTAACTCAAGGATGTGGAGACAAAATTGCCCTTCATCTCTGGCGAGCACTTCAGAAATTCTTGTGTATTTTAATCTCAAGATTCTCAAAGAGAACAATCCCTGAATGTTGCAATGTCCCGTCAAACTTCCGCAGTGGGTGAAATCCAACTCTTTAAGCTTCTTAAGATCTTTTATGGCTTCAGGAATTCCTTTTAGGTAAGTACCAACCATCTTTAACACTTCAAGATTTTCCAAATATTTGACAGAAGGAGGTAATTCCTTAATTAAGGTCTCCGACAGGTCCATTTCCTGTAGTGAAACAAGCTCTCCAATGACAGCCGGAAGTTCTTTTAGGTTTTTGCAACTTCTTAAAATAAGCTTCCGAAGATTCTTTAACAATTTAATGGAATCAGTGACATCACCCAATGCTTCACATTTGCAAGCACTGAGAATTTCAAGTGCCGGCAGAGAGCCTTCCTCGAATTTAAGTCTTTCAATTTTAGTTCCATCAATGAGAAGCTCTTTCAATGCTTTCATGGAACACAGTGCTTGTGGCAAATCTTTAACGAATTTGCAACACTTCATGTTTAAGGAAACTAAATTCTCAAAGTTAGAAATGGATTTCTGAGTCGTTGGGCTTAATAATAAACAACCTTCCAGGACCAAGCATTCTAACTGCGTTGAGGCAGGGAATTCCAGACATGAATTGATCCAAGTACAACCTTTTAGGTTCAAGACTTTCAAACTCCCAGCCTTCTGCAAAAACAAAATGATTCAAATGTTTATTCCCTACTTCAATTATAACTCTAAAGATAAAATGCAGGGCGCATTTGTACATAAAAAAAGTGCACAAGCACATATAGGCCTTACCTCCATCAATTGTTTCCAGTCTTCCAAATTCAATTTGACTGAGCTTGGGCATAAGTTGAGAATTACCAGGTTTTCCATTTTGAATGCAAACAACTTAGATTTCTCATGGCATCCGCGCCAATCAAGCCATACTAGCTTTGGAAGAAGATTCTCAGGATTTCCTTCAATATCAACATTGTCCAACTCAAGAAACCTCAGACTTGATAGATGATGAAATACTTCACCATCAACTTGATTAAAATTGGGGGTCACACGAAGAGCTTCAACCTTGCTGGTACCCTGCCAATTTGTTGAAAAAGTGCAAGTGTGAATTTCGAACAAAGATATATGCAATGAAACGATAATATAATCATCGTATCTAGAAGGAAAACTTGTCTAGAATATTGGAGAAATCTCAGTGTGATTTACCTTTTTTTCGCGCAATGTTGTTTGGACATCGTTGTAATCCCATAGCCTGCTGCGCTGCCCGGGGTCTTTATCTTCTTTCTTGACAATTTCTCTTCCCAAGAATTTTAGTTGATTGTGCACCCAAAACTCATTTTCTTCTCCAATTTTTAGAAAAGACATACTTTGAAGGTCACCGACACCTCTATATGGGTCACATCCACAGGCAGCCCACATGTAAAAGGGGATTCTCTTTTCAACCCCGGTAAAGAAACATGCTATATCAAGAAATATTTGTTTTGCATTTTCACTCAAATGGTCAAAGTCTTTCTTCAACATTCGTTCCACTTCTTCTTCCAGCCCTCTTTTTAAATGATTCAGAGTCTCCGTCCATATTTCTTTGCTCTTCCAATACAAATATTTTCCCACAGTTTCAACAACAAAAGGAAGATTTCCGATAGCAGAAGTGATTTCGCTTGACATTTCATGGTAGCCCTCTAGCGGATGATCTAGTCCAAAAGCATGCATACAGAAAAGTTCAAGGGCATGATTTTCACTCATTGATAAAACCTCATGTTCATGGATAACATTTACCTCATGATCCTTGTTTTTTTGAACCTTGCAATAATTTTCGATGACATTTTTTCTTCTGGTCGTGAGGATGATAATGCTTCCCAGATCAAACCAAGTTAGCTGCTCAGCCAATGGTTTGATTTGTTTAAGGTCGTCCACATCATCCAGGACAATGAGAACTCTGTTTGTTTTGAATAGGTGCTGTATAATTGTGGTACCTTGATGGGAGGATTCCACCTTTGGACATTCTCCTCTCTTGAGGTCACGAATTAACTTCTTCTGCAGAGATACCACACTTTTTTGTTCAATCTTATCCCGAACATTTTCAAGAAAACTACAACCTTCAAATAGGTGACCGATTTTGTTGTATACCACCTTTGCAAGAGTGGTTTTGCCAACCCCGGGCAGACCGCACACTGCAAGCACCCATCTCCCTGTCATCTCCTTTTCTTTAACAATTTGTCCATCCTGATATTTGAAACCAAGCTTTCGCATCATCTCTGGCATGTCTCTATCTATTCCAACTAAATTTTTAGTCACGTCTTGCTCATCCATCTTCAAGAGTTTCCAAAGTTCAGAAATGAAATCCTCTAGTTCTTGATACCTACAAAATGAGAAACGGAGTTTACCTTTTTTCATTTTGTTTTTATAATAGATAGGGGACGGGAGAGGTGACCAGCGGTAGCAACTCCCCCTTGACATTAAATTAACGTCCCAGATCACGTCCCAGATCAGTTATGGAATGGTTTGATTTCAAGGAAGGTATGGAGGGCACCAGACATCAATCAACCAAGAAAAAGAAAACATGAGGAAGACTGCAGAGAGAAGACAATACAATAAACATACACCTGCATTGCGATTAAAAAGTCAAGAAAAAATTGGAATCTCCAGAAGTTAATTGGATCCCATACATAACGTGGTGACATCTTAATATACAAGCCAATTCTCCTATCTTTTCTTTCCGCAAGCTAAACAAGTAAAGCAAGATCAGTTAAGCGACCAGACTTTACCCGCTGAAGAGATCCTTGAAAACCGGTCCCCTAATATCACCAATCTCTCTCAGAGCAGCCTTCCACTTTTCAATTGACCCGGGATATCTGTTTTTGCGCTCGTGCTCGGCAAATGCCTTTTCATATGTTCCCAGCTGACGGCGAACGACGCAGGGCTCCACGCCAAAGAAAACGGGATGAATTTCTTTATCCGACTCCACCATTTGGGCCACTTCCATCAGGCAAGCTGGGCTAGAAGCGAAGTCCTCGGAGAATACAGGGATGCAGATGTCGGAATGCTTGATGGCTTCCACGATCTTGTTATCGATCTTTTCACCGTACTTGATCTCTTTGCGATCTAGAAATGCCACAATCCCCGAGCCTCTGAGCCGGTCGTAGAAGTACTTGACAAAACTGTCGCGTGAATTTGGTCCTCTGAAGCTCAGAAATACTCGATAGTTGCAAACGGCCATTGGAACACGAACACCCATTTGCATAAAAAGACTAGCTCGAATGGAGATCAGGATGATGAAGCTTGAGAGAATTTGTTCGAGTTCACAAATCTGAATCTGGAGCGTTGACCCCGTTACCCATCTTAGCCTTAGTCTTAGTCTTGCCCCGAGTGAAGACTCGTCTACCTCTCTTTTCTTTTCTTTTCTTTTTTTTCATTTTATTCCTTCTGATGTTTTGGCAGTTCTATCCTTCCAATGACGGGGTCAAGATCTCGCCAAGGGAAATTATTACACAGCGTACAACATTCAGGAAAAGTATTATGTCATTGTAGTATAGATGTTAAATAGAATTTGAATGATGGTTTCAATATGAGTTTTACATTACAGCCAAAATTCAATTTAATATATGAACACTAAATTCATTACATAATAACAATAAGTCAGACAACAAGGTGCCTGGTACTCCGCACAATTTAATACCTGCGTGATACTAAATATCTTCTTATTTTTCATAGGCCTTTACACCTTTTTTTTTCCATAAACAAATAGTCCGAACTTTGTAATCCTCCTGTACATGAGGTCGTCAAATTTGCGAGCAGTTAAAAATGGGAGAATACATTTCAACACCTTCTCTTGTCCACCTCTATTTTTTTTTCTTCGTTTTCGTTATAGATAGAGATTTAGTTACCCGAGAACCAAGAACACCCTACAAGCCAAACCGGTTAAGTTCAGGTCTTTGACTTATGTAGGTAGTTTTGATCCAAAGCAGTTTATACGTAGTTGGTAGAATTTGAACAAGTAATCTACAGCATCTAACGACTGAGGGTTGTCTTAGTGGCCACTCTCACAACTTGAGAAGGGAGAGGTAAGGAGCTCGATTTCCCCACCTTTTCAGAGGGGCTGGGGTGGAGACGTTTAGTTTTAGGTGTGGGGTTCAATTCTCACGCTCTGCATTGGACTTCATCCTAAATAATGGATAATCAGCTATGTCTGATCTATGAACTTTCAAGTTTTTACTCTTTTGGATGATGCTATATTTCATTTAAGTGAATAGGCCTCTATACTTTCCCGAGAAAATATTTTCCAAAAGCTAGTCAAAGTAATCATACATATCTACTCACCTTGTTAAATATTTTTATACACAGTTAATCAATGTTAAAAGACGAAAATACCTCCATCTAACAGTACGGGGACTAATATGGACTAACTGTGCGGCCATTTCCATTCTATCTCTATGACGTTAAAGACTTTTGAAGATGTATTATCTTCATTAACGGAAGTAAACACGGCATTACAATGAACGGACATTAGTAATCCTACCATATTTCCGAAACACATTGCTCTTAGGCGATTTGCAATCCTCACACTGCTGTCAGGTTGTTCATTTGGGCTCGACTAACTACGTAGAGGCTGTCCTGATATTCAATTTATTAGTGTTGCAGAAAATTGTTGGAAAATATGAAAAAAAAAATGTCTGAGGCAGACAAGCAAGCACTTTCTTTAAGGATAATTTTGCCTCTTGAAATATGAAACTCGGTGCGATAATCCAAAGCGGCTATTTTCCTAGGATACAATAGATATTCTTCTTTACTCCACACAGAAAAATAGAGGGAACATGAACAACAACCTTATATGTAAAACCCAGTAAATAAATAAAAAGGAAAGAGAGAATTTCTTGTTTTTGATATATTTTGATTGTGATTTGGAGATTCTCTTTATAGTCAAAAGAGAGTGTTCATAAAGAAACAAATCAAATCAGTCGTTACAAAACTATTACAAATTGATGGCAATCATAAACCCATTAGAGCCGTTACAAATCATTGGCTTGAATATTTTAAAACTCGTTGAAATATCCAACAATTAGATCCATAGCAAATCATGAGAGGGGGAGAGATGGAAATGAAAAAAATTGAACCATTCTCTTTTGAAATTAGTTGGACTCGAGATGGTAAAGAGTTTATTGAGGATATAGATGAAGTAATATTCTAATCCTCCAATTCTATTAGCATGTGAAGTAGTTTCATTTGAATTTTTCTTTGCGACAAAATATCTTTCACCAAAAGTTGTTCTTCGATTTTAATTGACGACAAAACCTGAGAATGTAACTGTGACAGATAGAATCAAACGTAATCAAATTATGTCGGAATTTAATTGATGACAAAACTTTAGAATATGAGGATACATCGTCAAAATTTAATCGACAACCCGGTACCAGGATACAGCAAGGATACATGCCAGAATTTAATCGACGACATAAATCTGAAATCTGCAGTTAAGAAACACGTTGGAATTTAATTGACGATGCGAGTTTGGAAATTAAAAGCACGGTGCAGGAATTTAAAGATAATTAAAAGATAACATGTTTGTTTGTTTGTGCGCGAGGTTTGGGGGTATCCCGTGGTTGAGCACTGGTATTTATAGTGACCATGGCATAACTGCTCCAAAGCAGTTTCTTTGCGATTTTCGCCATGCATCCATATCTTCGAGATTCTCAATCCCATATTTTCACAATGTCACAACCTTGCATTCAGGTGGTTTCTCCTTTAAAATTGCCTCTTGATTGATTTATCTTTTTCCCACGATCTCCTGGATTTTGACTGTCTCTTTCTTCACGATTTCTAATTGGAATATCACAACCGTTTCTTGGCGCCTCTCTGACGTTCGTTTTTCATTCGGATTCTCAATTGATAATATCTTTCTTACGGCCTTTCCAACTAATTGTGCCATAACATTTGTCATCGTCAACCACCTTCGTATATCGATAGCTGAATAGTAGTCATTGATGTACATCAATATCGATTACATTTCTGTGGTCGTCGATGATGGCCGACGAGCATAAAAATAACTTGTTTTCTAGTTGCATGCCTATGTATATCGATGACCCGGTTAATTTTTGGAGCAAACATATGCCCCATTTGTAACATCCTGAATTTTGACCTGTTATCGGGATCAATAAAGTGTATATTAATTCTCGTTTGATTTTAGTAAGTCTCGCCCGGACTTGATCAATCACGGGATACTAACCAAATGGGAAAGGCTAAATAGGATCAGGTACGTGGACCAAGGACCCGATCGCGATTGAGTGCCGAGTTCGAGAAACATCGAGGGAATATTTTGGACCAATATGGGCCGATCTTAGGAAAATGACGGATTGATATAGTCAGATACGTACGATCGGATCGCGGGTGATTCCGCACGACCGAAAGTACGCCTGACTAACGAACCCCGATTTTAATCCAAACGATCGCGACCCCCGGTACTAGTGATAATTCCTCTCGTTCTCTCGAAATTTGAGACCATCATGACTCAGACAATCCTAGGTCGATACGCGTACCACCTAAACAGCCGACCGTTAGTGAGAGGCCCTAAGACTTCGAAACGAGTTATTTTGATCGCAATATTGAGCCCAAACTTCGATATCAAAATTTCAAGGGTAATTACGACTATTTGGTGAGACGGACGTCATTTTATAGTGGCCAAATAAGTTTGGGACAAGAACAGCTGAATATAGAAATTTCGACAGAAATTGGGGAAAATTACAATTTTGCCCCTGGGGACCTCGATGCTCGTTTCCGAGGCCAAACGAAATTATTTTTCGGAATCGATGCCATTTTGGGGCAACCATGCACGTCTGGAGTGCATACGGTCAAAAATTGGAATTTCGACCCCGGAACGAAAAATTACGGTTTTACCCCTCGAGACTTTTGGACCGGTTTTCGAGGGCTTAAAGGATGAATTTTAAGGATCCGACACCGGATTATGTCTACCATGAATATATAGGACCGGTATGGACAAAAATTGAAATTTCGGTTCGGGATCGAAAAAAATTACGAAAATGCCCCTAGGCCAATTTTAATTAATTCCGAAAATTGAATTTAATTAGGGGTTTAACCAAGGTTAAATGGGACTAACCAGGTCTGGTCAGCCTTGGGTTAGTGACAAATGACCATTTTACCCCTAAATTATTGGATGAGAAGGAAAGATAGCCATTGGATCAAGGGCAAAATTGTCCAATTGGCCTAGATTGAGACACATGGAATCCACTCACACTTGTTGACCCATATTTGACCAGACATTTCTCTCTCTCTCTCCCATTCTCGTTCGATCCGCCGAGCCATTCTCCTCCTCCCCTTCCCCGTGAATTTCTTTTCCCGTTTCGTTTCGGCGTGCACGGTTCGTCCATTCCGGTACTGTTCACGCCGGAGCACACTCAGCTGAGCTGTCCCCGCCAAGCCAGCACCACCAGCAGCCCTTTCTCGCTCAAGACAAGCCACCACAGCCCCGGTTTCACCTAAACAACAGTAAACAGCAGCCTAATTGTCTTCGCCGGTCGCTGCGGACCGCGGCTTGCACCGGAGCGCCGCCGTCGATCCTTACCGTTCGTCGGTGATCGACCGCCCGTTCCCGTCGTCCCGAATCGTTAATAGGCGAGTATAAACCCCTAAACCCCTAATTAGTCTAATTGTGCATTTTTAGGGGTTAATTAGGCCTAATTGAGGGTTAATTAGGCTTAATGGTGTGTGGGATGTTTTGTATGGGTCATTAGGACCTAATGAGATGATTTAATGGTGGTTTAATGGCCTAAATTGTGATCTGGTCTGGTACTGTTCATGAGTACCGAAAATGCTAAATTTTGTTCAAGTTTTGTACTAATTGAGTTCAATGGTTAATGACTTAAAATTAGGCATTTGGTAGACTAAGTAAGCTTATTTGAGGCTTAATTATGTGTATTTGGTGGTTGGATGTTTAGGGTAGGTGATTAGGGCTTAATGAGATGGTTTAAAGGTGAATTAGTGCCTAAATGTGCATTTTTCCTGGTACTGTTCATGGGGCTCCGAAATTGTTTTAATTTGTCTAAGTTTGTACTAATTGGGTTCAATTGTTGGTGACCTTGAATTGGTCATTATAGGGCTTAATTAAGCTTAATTGAGGCTTGATTATGTGTATTTGATGTTTGGGTGATTATAGTATTTGATTGAGGCCTAATGGAATTGTTTAGGGGTAGTTTGGTGCAAAATGGACATTCGGTTCTGGTACTGTTCACCAGAACCGAATTGTACCATTGGGCTTAATTGGAGACTTAATTGGTTCTTTGGCTATTGACTTGAGTTTAGGCATTTTTAGGGGTTGAGTAGGACTTGTATGAATCCTATCGTATGACCCCGAAGTG